TTTTTTTTTTTTGGCCGCTGTATACATACGCATGGGATTGGTTTCTCCGTTCCGGGTCAGGTGCCTTCTGCCCGCTGCGGCGTCCTCCTATTGCAACCTTATCCTAACAGCATCTAAGGCACAATTGTGCCCTGGTAGATGGCTCTGAGTGCGGCGAGCGAGGACCCCTAGGAGGAACCAGCAGCGGCGGATAGGCATGTGCACAAGCAGGTCCAGCCGCGGGGCGGTCGACGTCGCTGCTACCGCGCCGGCCTTGGTGACACGCCCACGCCAGCATATGCCCTCTCTGCACGCCTAGCACGCCTCGCACGCCCGTCGCCCAGACTATTCGGCCCACAATCCGGCTGTCCTTTACTATAATGGCCACCCCGTTCGGTAAGGAGAATAGATACTCGAGGTCAGGGATGCGATAGGCAACAGATCCTTTGACGTTGCTAGGTGTTTCAAAGAGCCCGGCCCAGAAAACAAATGTCTGTTGGCAGGTCGTGCAGTACAAAGAGAGAAGACGGTTTCGGCCACCGTATCCAACATGGATTGTACTCTCATGACCACCGCCGACCTTCATAATTCGACTTAGACCCCCTGGGATGTCCCCGCGGCCTTTTAGGGAGAGAGTCATTACTTCCGCAAACCCAACCAGCACCACCTGGTCCCTCTATTGGCCAGCTATCCTCTGGAGCCTTCCCAAATCTTTCGTGGAGAATCTTTGCCAACTTGCCGCTTCTACCTTCAATAGTCAGGTTCTGCTTGATACACCCCATGTCCTCTTGATAGAGTCTCCTCCCAAGTGTATCAACAAAAGAATCAAGATCAGGCCCCGTGGCTTTCAGAACAATCGCTGCTTCGTGGGCAAACTTAGCCATAAGGTTCAGGTCGGTCCCAAGCCATCCGTGGACTTCAGAGACTACACCAATTTTTCCTAGTTTCAGAATGGGATCTCCATTCTCCAGGTCACCATTCTCGAATGAGAAGTCTTGATGGAAATCTGGAAGGTGTCTTCTCGGTCCGAGAGGCCATGCACACACCTCATTGAATCCTTGGATGTATTCCAACCGGTTGTCATGGTGTTCCAGCCACGGCGTTATTAGCAAAGGACTGTAGTCGCCAACCGCGAGGCACAGCTTTGCAATGTGTCTGTATTCGTTTTCGAAGTCATGCTTAAGAGGCCTGTCAGAGGTTGGCTCTACTAATCCTAGCAAAGCATGTAGAAAGTCGTGGTTGCTCCTGCACCGGCGTTTGGAGAGTAAAGAAAATGCCAAACCAAATATGCATGGCTTTTCCTTTTTTATGTCACGGAGTGGTCCAAGGCACCACGGCGCAAGGTTGTCGCCTATCCCCGCTTTGGTCTCCACCTGATGGACTGATACATGCTTTGTAACAACAGGCAACTTTCTCGAGGCAGAAGGGAACGCAACAACCAGCGCTCCCAGGGACCTAAATCCGGCATCAAACGAACCGGAACAGCTAACTCATTTACCCCCCTAACTTACACCAGGCCGCAGGCCTTGGTTGTTACGTTTAAACCGGAAAACATACTAGCCTTTCCCCCAACATAACGGGAAAATTTTTCGGCGGTCCGTGCCAAGAAAAACCCCTCCCCCAAGAACTACCCGGAACCACAACTTCGAGACTCCAATCTCGAAATGGAAACACGTCCCCCT